GCTCGCCGGCGCCCTGGAGTCCGTGGATGAGGATGCGGGGCACCAGCGGTCTCTGCAGGGCCGGCGGCGGCGCGCTGGGGCCGCGGTACAGGTAGAGCGCGGCGCCGGGGTCCAGGTTGGAAACTAGACTCTGCGGGTAGAAATAAGGCGACGGGAACATCCGCTGGAGTGCTGAGTAATTGCCTGCCTCCGCCAGCAGCTCCAACCCGACGGCCGTCTGTCGCTTCCATTTAGTCCTGGAGACCAAAATAAACGCGAACGGCGGGGTCAGGGCTAGGGGCCCCGGCGACCCCTTCCCCTCCCCAGTGCTCGGCCCAGAGCGCCTGCAGGGAGGCCGAGGGGACTTACACTGATGCGTTAATAAATGGAGCGCCAGGCAGCCACCGTTCGCACTCCTTACACTTCCACCGGCCTTCCAAGGCTATTATCCCCATTTTACAGAAAAGGAAACTGAGGCCTGGGCCAGTTTTTGAGATGGTTTCCAAAGCATCGGAGCCCGGGTTCTAATTCAGGCTGTCTGACCCCAAAGCCCTTAACTTCTCCACGACTGCTCAGGGGATTGTGGGCGGGGCGTGGAGCTCTGTGTTGGGGCTCCCCCCTGCCTATGCGTCCCATGCAGAGACCTTATGAAGGCGGGATCACTTTGGAGAGAGCAGCGGGGACTTGTGGGGGAAAATCGATCAGGCCCCTAGTCATGGAAAGGGGCGCAGTTGCTTCTTCAGGCCGCGTGGCCAGGCGGAGACAAGTACCACCAAGGTACCCTGGCAGCGGCGGCGCCTCTGCAGAGCGCGTGGGCCAGAAATGGCATCTGGGAGGACGCTCCCGGATGCACACAGCCTCCTGTCCCCGCCGCACGGATGGCTGCACCCACCACTCTCTGCACCCAGGTCTGAGGCCTGGGGTGAGCCCTTTGTCCTCTCTGGCCTCGAAGTCAGGAGGCCTCAGGTTGGTCGTCGGCCTGGGATTTGGGCAAGGCAGACCCGCAGCCCAGGGCTCACTTGCTGGGTGAGGCTGGGCAGGCCAGCCGGGGTCCCATCGAGGTGGGCTCAGCCACACTAGCCCCGATTCTCTCCCTGAATTATTCATCGTCATCATAATTGTGTAATTACTGTAACGGGCCTTAATTATTGATGCCCGGAGCAGTAATCGGTATTTATTATTAATGGGGCGACGTGTTCTGAGGCTTGTTTATAAAAAGCACCATTGCCGTCTCCACTAAGAGTGTGTGAGTGACTGTCGGTGTGCATGTGTGTGAGGCTGTGAGTTGGGTCGCTGTATGTGTCACTATGTGGGTTGTGTGTGGATGTGTGTGTGTTTTGTACACGTGTATCTACGTTCTTTGAATGTGTTCAGGAGGGAGATTAGGAAACAGGTTTAAGACCAGTGCCCCAACCAACTTCCCCGTCTCTCTGTCCCCAAAGACCTGGAGCTGGGCCGGTTTCCCCCTTGGGCTTCAGACTGGAAAGGCTGGGGAAGCTTGAAGAGCCCAGCGAAAGTTCAGAGGCACCTGCAGCAGCCGTCTGGACTGGGCCGGGCTACATCACCCCAAGAGCTGCTCCATGTTTGTCCTGTCCTGGAAGGCTTTCTGGACACCGAGGCAGCCACCCCGCCCGTGGCCTGGGGCTTCCACTGAGAGAGCTCAGAGGCCCCAAACGCGGGCTAGGGCTGGTTCAAGTTGGGGCTCCAGGAAGGACCCTCGGTTGCGGTGGGGCAGCACTGGGACCTCCAATGGTCCATGTATCATCCGTCCCCCTGTCCTGAAGGGGAATGACTGGGCACTGGATCGAATCCGTTCCCATGTCTGAACCTCACTGTGGGATTTCAGACAAGGCCTTCTCCCCTTAGGGCCTCAGTTTCCCCACTCTTACAGAATGAGGGAGGCTAAGGGGCCCTCCTTAGCTCCAGGCTGTGCACCCCTGGGTCCCCTCCAAGAGCTGCGAGGAAAGGGGAATAACCTTCCCCCCCAGCGCGCAGCCGGGCCTCACCTGCGGTTCTGGTACCAGGTCTTGACCTGCGTGTCGGTGAGGTTGAGCGAGGCGGCCAGCTCCATGCGGTCCTGCACGCTCAGGTACTTCTGCCGCTCGAAGCTGCGCTCCAGCTGCGCCAGCTGATGGTCGGTGAAGGCCGTGCGCGCCTTGCGTGGCTTTTTCAGGCGCACAGGGGGACTGTCCCTCGAGCTGGAGATCTCGCGGTCACCCTCCTCCTTCACTGCGGGGACAGCGGCGTGTCAGGGCCCGACCGCGGTGGCCCCGCCACACCCCAGCGCGTGGAGACCTCGGGGCCCCCGGGAACAGGGCGTGAATCCCGACCGAGGGGGAAAGCGGCGGCAGCGCCCGAGGCCGAGACCTCGTTGGCACCTCCGGGGAGGAAGAAGCCGGAGCCGCAGGGAACTCAGCGCGCTCTTCCCCCGCCGCGCCCCTGCGCTGCGCCCGCGCTCTCCGGAGGGACAAACGGAGCCGCTGGGGTGGAGCCGGACAGACCCGCCTGCGGAGCGGGGGGCACCCAGGGTGTCCGGCGGCCCGGGCTCCGTGTCCAGGCCCCACTCCCCTGGCCGCATCCGTGACCAGAGGCAGGAAGCTGAAGGCCGGAGTCTGGGGAGAAAAACCCGCTTGGGGGGACGAAACCCCGCTCACCCCGGAACGATTCGTTGTCCTGAAAAACAAATAATTGTGCCCACACTCTGCATGGCATCTGTAGCGATGGTTTCCCCCGACACGGCCGGGCGCCGGGGTCTGGAGCGCGGGGCACTTGGAGAGACACGCGACGCTGCCACGCGTTTGCCCCGCGGGCGCGCGTTGCCGAGCTCTGTGTTTCGTTGTCATTGCGTGGCCCGCTGTGGCTTCCACTACACCCGCGTGGCGATCGCGTGTTGACGCCCCCCCACCAACACCGGGGTCCACAGATGGACCTGGCTCGGCTGGCTTCTTGTTCCCCGAACGCTTCCCTTCGGGGTTGACCACACAGAAGACACACGCTGAAATCGAACGAGCGTGATGCTCGCTCCGCTTCTCCCCTTCAAGCGATTCTCTGACCAAACAGACCCGTCTCCAAAACCGGCGGAGCCGGCTGGGGCTCCCCCCTACCCTGCCCTCTATTTTTTCTCTATTTTCTTTTATGGTGAGTTTCATTGTGCGTGGCATTTGCGGTGACAGGGTTCAGCTGAATGCGAGTTGATTTCTCTCTGTAGGAAACAATAATCCGGTTAATTGAGCCACTAGGGAGCGAGACTTTTCATCCGGAGAGGCAGTGCTTGGCGGCAGGGAGGGCGGCTAGCAGGGCAGAGCGCCGTGGAGGAACCGTGGCCGAAGCCTCCTGCCGCCTCGTCCAGGCCGGCACGGCGCCGCCGGGCTCTCCCTGCCCTGCAGGCCGGCCTCGGTGGGACACGGCCACCATTAGGAGACGGGGATGAGTTAGGACGGGGGGCGGCGGGCAGGGACTTGCATTCTGTCTATGCAGGCAAGTAAAGTTTAAACAAGTTCAAGGAAACAATTCTCCAAACCTCAAACCCAGTACTGCAGAAATCTTACTATTTGACCTAATTTACCTGGGCCGACTATGAAAATCCTCCACTTTTCAGGGCTGAGGTAGTGGTGGGGGTGGGAGGGGCAGTGTTGAGTTTGTGGCATCAGGAAGGTCGGGGCAGCTTCTAGGCTTTCTCCAGTCCCTCTGTAGCGCAGGCTGGAGCCTTTGGGTGCACACTCACCGCCCGATCTGCCTCAGCCTCCGGGACAGTGGGGCCTCAGCTTCCCAGACTCTGCTCTGGAGGTCACATCTTGATGTCCCAGAGTTTGTGACCCACTGACCCAGCCTTTTTGGAGCAAAGCACTGGTTTGGTTTCTCCACGGACCTTTACTCCAGCCACTAATGCTGCTGACTGGCTTGCTTCAAAGCCACATTTCAGCTTCTTTAAATGTTATATTTGAGAAGCCTTTGATACCAGAAACTTGGGACTAGACTGGCCTTCCCCCATGCCCTCCTTGGAGAAAATGACTCGTTGTGGAAGGTGGCTGGGGACTTGACAGGCTTAAATGTCCCCACAGCCTGGTTCAGTGTGTTAGTCTCTCAGCCAGGCTTCCTAACTCGGGCTCTGAAAAAGTCACCTCCACGTTTGAGAAACGCTCCAGACACAGCCTTGCGGGACGTTCCTACTCCTTTCCCACTCCGGAGCTTTGTAGGTGCAAAGGCAACAGCACCTAGGGGTGGGGGGATGTGGGAGACCTCTACCCCTTCTGCTCCAGTCCTATTTAAGTACTACGTGCATGGACAGCCGGCCCTTGTCACCTCCCTGATCAGATATCATCAGGGACAGGAGAAGAAAATTGATATTCCAATTATCTTAAATGAAACCTCTCCTCAAAATCCTACCTGGGGGCGAAGAAATAAAAGGAGGCAAGAGCCAAATTGTTTCACCACCACCATCACCAGCCTTTAGCATGCAAGGTTAGGGATCCTTGCTCTAACCAAAAAACTAGGGTGCAAATTGTAAAGAATAAAGCATGATGTTGCATATATTTACATCGTCTCCCTCTACGTCCCCTCACACCTGTCTTTCTCCAGGGCATGTTTTCTTTGCCTCTGTAACCAAGCCCCTGGGGAGAAGCAAGGGTCTCTGGGCCACGGTGCAAGGGCTCCTGGCACCCACATGCCTCTGAATCTCTTCCTGGGTGCTCTAGTTCAACCTGCCCGTTTTCTAGGCATGGCTGGCCCAGCCCGGCTGAAGGAGACTCGGTCATTTGCATGAGGGAAGTGAAGAGAAATGGGGCAGGGAGTAGGACCCTGGGTTTCGGTTTGGGGTCAGGGCATGTCCACACAAATTCTCAGTTGGCAGGAGAGTGTTAAATGAGCTTTCCTAGATTTCTGTGAAGGCTTGGTGCAAATAGGGGCCAGGAGGTCCAGGACCCCAAGACAATAAAGAAGTTGCCTTCAGAGGGAAATTTTGTCTCATGAAAAAGGTTCCAGGAATTAATTATACAACTGAAAGAGATCTGAGCAGCCTCTGCCAGCTCCTAGTTTTCTGCTGGGTGGGGACACAGGGCTCTCTCCCTTGAGCCCTGATACGCCCTCTCCTTGCCTTCTGCCTCTTGACTTCTTCCTAAAAATAAATTTGTGCCTGTGGCCCCAACAAACAGCTAAAGTCAAAGTAAGGGCTAGGGTCAGAAACAAAATTAGGCAACTCTTTTTGTCCTTTTTCCCTTCCCTCTTCCCTTCCCTCCTTCCTTCCTCCCCTCTTTCCTCTTAGTTCTGATTTCAGCTTCCTGGTTAAAACAGGATGAAAAGGACCGACGACAACAAAAAGATTCATGAGGTGAAGGTAGGTGAAGGAGGAGCCACCCCAGCACGGGGGAAACAGGGCTGGTGACTCACGATCTCTGGGTCTCACACCCAACCTGGAGTTTATTGCTCAATGCGCTCAAAATCAAATTCAGTGAAGACTGCTGTGTGGGTGTGGGGTCCTCCCCTCTCTACCAGACCCTGAACCTGTTCCCAGCCAGCCCCCTGGCTGCTGTTTCTACTTTGAAGTGAGTGTTTCTTTTGCATGATTCACAGGGCCCAGACCACACTGGGCCCAAAGGGAGGGAAAACCCAGTTTCTCTTCTTGTCCAGAAATTAAGATTGAAGTGTGGAAAATTCTGATTGTTCTCAAGGCTCCAGTTGAAATTTTCCTGCTAGATTTTCACTCTTATAGAGCAGAACCCTTTGAGTCTCCCGTTGTTTCTGTAAGGTCTCTTCCCAGAGAGCCCTGGCCTGATAAGAACACGCTCCTGCCCACCAGCACCACTGAAAGGGTAGTGGTCCAAGTTTAGAAAGTTTGCTTTGTGCATTTGGGGGAATTTCTCCTTGGGCACACAGTATCCCTACTCCACCCCCCCAGTCTCTCCACTGGACTCTTTGTTGCTCCAAGGCATAACAACAGGGCAGGCTGAAAGGTTTGGGCAAGACCACCTGCTCAGCCTGGACCCTGGGGGAACTCCGAGGTGAGCATGTGCATATCCCTGCGTGTGTGCACTCAAGTTTTAAATGCCAGTTTTTAGAAATACAGCATCCCCACGAGTTTTCACCTCCCGTTTTCTTACCTTTATACTCAGAGTCCGATGAGGCGTTGCTGCCACTTTTGTCCAGCTTGTCTCTAAAGTCCTCCCCGGCCTTGGCCGCAAGGCGGCCCCCAGCCTCAGGGGCTGCCAGCTGCCCGCTGCTAGAATAGGGTGCACAGGCCGCGAGTGGTTTGCAGTCGGCAAGGATGTCCCTGATCAGAAAGGAGGAGGTGACGGTGCGCGACTGGGCCGGGGCTGAGAGCTGCCCGGGCTGCAGATGAGAGTCCAAACCTGGGCCAGATGCCCCACCAGGCCGCGGGGTGCCTGTCTCCAGACAGTCCCTTCCTGGAGAGGCTGGCGAAGAGCAGTCGCTGCTGCTCTCTGAGCGTGGACTCAGCTCCAGGGGCGAGCGGCAGTCCCCAAGCAAGGGGTCCCCCTTGGGAAGGGCGGGGCTGCCCGCGCGGTGGGAGAGAATGGAGTCGATCCCAAAGCCCCAGCCGCCGCTGCCCCTGCCCCTAGCTGCGGGCTGGCATGGGGAAGGCGGGCAGGGAGCCTGCGGGCACCTTGGACGGAGTTCAGCCTTGGGGGAGCCCGGGAGCTCTGGGCCAACCTCCTCTGCGCATTAGATCCAAAAGGGCTCAGCGCGTCTTCTGCAGCATCGCGCGCCGAGCCGCCGAGCCGAGGGGGGGTGGTGGGAGTGTCAGGGAGGAAAGGGAGGGAGGGCTCGCCAAGTTGGGGAGAGGAAAGGGGGAGACGGATGGCCTGAGGGCCCCCTCGGCACAGAAGAAACGCGAGGATGTTGCAATCTAAATAAAGAACGGCTTTTAAAAAATCCAAACCGCACGCTTCCTCCAGGCAAGCGGTGGCCGAGGGCAGCGGGGTCAGCACCGCGGAGAGCAGCAGGCCCGGGCCGAGTCAGCAGCCGGCGGGACGGAGCGCACCTGACGGCGTCAGCACCGCGGACAGCGGCGGCGGCGGCCCGCGGCTCATGGCGCTGCACCTGGCCGGGCAGGTCCTCTGCGCGCTGGGCGCTCCGGGGCCGTCAGCACCGCGGACAGCGCCCCGCTCCCCGGCTGCAGCTCTCCGCCCGGCCGCCGCGCGCGCCTTCGCCTCCCCCACTTTCTTTAAAAAATGAACTTGTGTCCCTTTTTCTTCGGGTTGGGGTTTTTTTTGTTGGTTGTTTTTTTTTTTCGTTGTGTTG